ATCGCTACGATTGACACATACGAATATAACAGCCCACTTGTAACGATTATACAAGGACTAGGGAAAATCATTGAAGGAACATACAAAATTATTCATACTATCAACTTGGACGAATATGAAAAAATTGTAAACGATATACGACTTACTATAAACCATGACATCAGTAAAACGAGCATGTTATTTCCTCAACTAAAGCATCAACTTTCAGAAATAGACAACTTACTCGACCAGTTACGAACAAAAGAACGCAACCATACAAAAAAGATCAATAAACTGGGTAGGATCCGCATGGAAATGGTTGGCAGGGAACCCCGACGCAACCGACTGGGATCAAATCCTCTCAAAAACAGACGAACTGACTGAAAACGGCGACAGACAATATACTGTTAACCAATATCTCATTAAGACGAATAGAAAGATTTTAGATACTTATAATAGAATAATAGGCGAAGAGGCAAAGGATAACAAAGAGTTATTCACACAAACACTTTATAATAAGTTAGGTATAGTAAAAGACGAAATTGCGAAAATCGTCATGGCAGCGCAGTTAGCAAAACAAGGAATCATTCACTCTCAAATTTTAAATAAAGAAGATATCGCTAATGTACTATCTCAAACCAATACACTTCCTTTCAAAAACGAGATTCAGGCCCTTAAATACGCAGAACCGTCAATGATCATCAAAGATTCACTTCTTTTATATGTAATTTCAATACCTAAAACGGAAGATACCCTATTTAACAACATCCTTATACGATCAACTGTAAAAAATAATAAAAGAGTCTACTTTGAATTCACCAACCTCTTCATATCCCAAAATGACAAATATGGTATTATTGGAAAATGTATTGCAATAGACGACACTACAATATGCAAAAGAAATCAACTTCAGAAATTAGATAAAACCCATTGCATTTCACAAATTCTTAGCGGAGAAAAAGCGTTATGCGACTACCAATATGAAAGCAAACCCATAGTTGAATTAATCGGAGAAGGAACAATATTTCTTTCTAATTTTATTGGTAATATTACTTACAATAATACATCGCACAATTTAAATGGCACATTTCTTGTAAATTTTTATAACGAAACCATAACCTTGAACAACATTAGTTACTCAAACTGGCAAACGAGCTCCTACCAAGTCCTACCTGCAATCCTTCAAAGTAAGTAAAGTAAGAAAACGAAATTAAGCTAGACCTCAGCTATCTACACAAACTTCACTTAAATAACCTAAAAAAATTAGAAAGAATATCATCACACAATACTATCTCAATAAGCACGAGCTTGACAGCTATTTTTATAACAATAACTCTATCACTTGGTCTGTATACCCTACTTTAACCAAAAAACAAATACTCATTTATTATCCCACCAATAATAGGTTACCCGCATATTTCAGTAAAGTAATACAATTTTTATCAGCGAGACGCTGATGCTTAAGAAGGGGGGAGTTAGCACAGTTAGCAGAAACTAAACTAAGTCACACAGTAAGCAGTTCCAAAAATCCAACAACAACAACTGCTTCACATTTCGTCGTACTAACTTCAAGCGGAAGTCGTGCAGACGTTACGTGAATCCGTTGTTGAGCAATTGAAGTTACTTGCACTTGCAAATTAGTGCATACGCAAAATAATATAAAAACAAGTAAGAAAGTCTAAGTTCGGACGGAGCCGAACATTAAATACCCGGCGCAAGTATTAAATATATGTTTTCCACCTATCCGAAAGCTACCGCTACATGATAAGCCGGGGTGTATACATTTTAAGTAAATTAACGTCCTTAAATTTCGAAATATTGAAATTTCAAGCATATCTGAAATTTACCGTTATATGAAAAGCGGCCTCAATTTTAGTCCGATTTCAACAATTTTCAACGGTTTGCTTTTATGTGGCAAGCACAATAACCATACCGAGCTTGGTACAAATTGCTAGAACGGTTATCGAGATACATATATGTGATCACAAGTGGGGGGTGCTACGCCCATTTTCCAAAATTTTGTCATAAACGTATTTCTTGGTAAAGAATTGTTGCAATCATCAATTTTGAATAAATTAGCTTCAATATTTACTGATTTATCGAAGATTTTGTATTTCTCGAAATTACCGTTATATGGGATGTGGGCGTGGGCCAGTTGGTATGCTGTACCAGGACCAACAACTGTGCCAAGTTTGGAAGAAATTGGTGTAGCGGTTACCAAGATATACACATGTAACCATAAGTAGTTATTCAGCCTTTCTGAAAACGAATATTCGTTTTACTCATAATTAAACGCAATTTTTGAATCAATTCAGGATTAGTATGGTTGCGTCATAAAATCATGCATAAAAACAAAGTTGAAAAATTGTGAAAAGAGTTAAAAAAAATGTGTTTGCTGGGCATATATACGCAGATATTTTAAGGTTCATAAATTTAAATATATGTACATCATTTGGCCCAAACATTAAGGCCCAAGTTTCTTCTTTCTTAAACGAGTGAGAAACTCGGTTGATAGTCAACAATTACAGGCTTTTAAGTGCGCTAACGTACAAAAAACTGGATTTTTAACCGCAAACCAATGTATTGGGGTGTTTGGCAAATTTCACATTTCGAATTTGGTTTTACTCAGCAAGACATACAAAAATAATAACATCACTTCCAAGGCATTTCGGGGTGGCACGCAAAGTAATAAAATTTGTTTTATGGACTTATTAAAAACCAGTATGAATTATGTAATTTTTATTTTGTGTAATTAATAAGTTATTTTTTTTGTTTTCATGAATGGTTTTTAATGTTTATTTTCTACTTTGATAATAAAATCTTATTGTAAGAAATCATTAATAACCCTTGTTTATTTTAATAGGTAATTTAAATTTGATATTCTAATGTATAGGTAAATCAGAAAAGTGAAGCCCTAACATGAATTTGTAATATATTTCCACAGTATCCACATGGGTTTCTATAGTACATTTTACCAATTACTAAGTTTGCAAATATATACATATATGTACGTACATATATGCACATTCATATATAGTACATTTAAATACCTAAATAGGTGTTTTCCCAAATTAACCGGCTTTTCCATTTCATTCTTAGTAAGTATGATATCAAGCAAACGTTTGCGAATTATTCCTGCGAATTTTGCCACACCCAGCTGCGCACTTTAGGTAGAACAAAACCCAATTCAACTAGAGTCAATAAGATTCATTTCATTTATTTTCGACTCTGGTAATGAGCAAATCGCCAAGCAAACGTTTGCGAATCATTCCTGAGGGTTGTGTCTCACCTGCGCACTTTATGCTTTTGTTTCGTTTGCACTCGCGCACAAAAGCAGAACGAAACCCAATACAACTAAAATTTTCTTTGTTTGGGTTTCGGTTGTGTTTTGCTCTCTGTTATGAGAGAAACGAAACAAAACAATACGATTCATTTCGTTTATTTTCGAACTCTGCTATCGATAGTATCGATAGTTTTATTTTTTTGCCCCTATCGATGAGTAGTGATAGTTTTTCTCAAAAAAAGGTTAAACTATCGATAGTACTAGTTGACTATCGATAGTTTAAAACCTCTAGCACAGCCGATTTTAGTTATAATGTCTCCACGTAGCTGCGCGTCATTTTTTTAAGTTTGTCAATTTTTTATTAAAAGTGATACTTTCATTTATATTTAAACGTTGCTTCAAACCATAAGACTATGTCTGAAGTAAAGCATTTATATTATCGGTGTTTGACGTTTGCATGTTTCTTGGCTGTAAACAAATCAAAAAATTATATTACGAAATTTAAACAAAATATATCATATTTGAAAATTGTTGTGTAGCAGTAGTTTTGTTGCAGGGCGGAGTGGCAAGTCGGCATGCTCGTGGTTCCTGGCTGAGCTCAACGGCCGGGTGTGGGTTTCTTGCATCCGCTCCACTGTGCC